AGATGTCACCAGGGTGCAGGTCGCAGGGGTGGGGCGTACCCCGCAGTGCTCAGGCGCAGAGCGTTTTCTCACAAGAAGGTGCCGGAGCCCATCTGCAGGGCCGCCATCGAGTGGAATCTGACTTCAAGGTGATCCGCCAGCGCGTCTGTCTGGAAACTCCACGGCGGGCTTTGAAGTCGAGTCTCGGTTTCAGCGGCTAAACAGTTTCAGATGTGACACTGTAGTTTTACGGGCTTAATAATCCCAACACATGTGCAGCCGGGGCCCCGCGAGGTTGCACCAGCGCCACGGGCGGTTCCATTCGGCGCCGCGCGAGTGACTCTGAACTTCTGCTTCTAAAGTGAAAGAGCAGGCGGGGAAACCAAGGCACGCGGGGGGTGCGAGCGGCCTTCACACACCAGTGAAGACGTCTTCGGTTGCCCCCAAAGTGACAACGAGCTTCACGAGCTGGGAGAGGCGCTCCCAGGCCCCGCCCCTCGGTGCTTCTGGGGAGGATGTTTTCAGAGATTTTATAACAACAGCATCTGAAATCTATATCCAGAAAAGCAGTAACTTTGGGACCAAAAGGTCTCCCAAAATACACGTTCTCCCAGGACGGCCTTCGCTGCGACTTCCCGTGAGAGGCAGGAGGTGACGATGCTTCCACGCCAGGCTCGTGTCATCCGCCGCAGCCTGTCACCGCACGACCGTTCCCGTAAGCATGGCAGGGAGCGCGCCCCACGCTCCTGGGCCAAGAGGATTTAGTTGTCGGCATCTGCGCACTCACCAGTGAGTGCCCCGGCCCGGGGGGAGGGTCCCCGCAGAGCCCACGCTTGTCGGGACGGCTGACGACACCCACCGCCCACGGCGCAGCGTTAGGAGCGCTAGGAGCACGGGGGTGAATGAAGGAGTCACCAGGACGCCCCAGCCACCTGCTGGAAAAGTAATTCCAAGGTCACACGCGAGAGACGTCGTAGGCAAGGAGGGGCCAGTGAGAACCCGGCTCCAAGGCTGGGTGGCCACGAGTCCCCTCCCTGTGCCTGAAGAGAGGGACAGGGTGACGGGCTTTTCCTCGTCACCAGGCGCAAACGGGGAGAAGCAGTGAGGGCAGCTAACCCCACACCCGGGCTCAGAAATGGGGTCCACGCCTTCCCAGGGTCTCCGTCTCCAACCAGGGGTGTCTGAGGACACGCAGGCTGCCCAGGGGTCACCAGGGGTGACTGGGGGCGACTGGGGATGTCCAGGGGTGACCAGGGCTGTCCAGGGATGACTGGGGGTGATTGCGGGTGTCCAGGAGTGACCAGCAGTGACCAGGGGTGACCAGGGGTGTCTAGGGGTGGAGTGGGCTAGAGACGGGAGGCTTTGAAATGAAATGTTTTCAGGCTCAGGTATTAAACACGTATGTAGGCGTGTCTGTATATATAGCCTGTATGCATGCATATATGTACACACGTGCTTACATGTATGTACACACCACACACATATGTACAGTTTTCAGCATCGTGAGACTTTGTTTTTGGTTTAGACAATCGTTCTGCAACTCGTCCGCAAATGTGGTCTCCTTCTCCCCGTCCTGCCTGCTACGGCTTTGTCTTCGGAGCTCACACTCTGTCCTCTCACGGAGAAAGGAGACCCAGGGGCTGGGCCTTCCAAACCCAGCTGCCGCCTGCGGAGCTTCACACACAGGCCACGGACACACAGTAAACGCGGCGCAGGTCTCCCAGGCCCCAGAACCGGCCCCTCGGTCCCTCCCACCTGAACGCGGCTGACCCCGCGGGGCGGGATGGGGATGCAGAACCCGGTTCCTCTGTCTCAATCCCTACGGGAAAAACCTCCGGACAGCTTTGTTTTCTTTCATTCTCGTGTTTCCTATTTCAAAGGAAGATGGTTTCCAAAGCCAGAAAAGAACTCTGCCGCATTTTACGGGTTTTTTTCCCCAATGTGGAAGGCGCCGTGTGTTAGCGCGCAAGGTCCGCGTCCTCGCCAGAGCGCAGTGGACGGGAGATGTCGAGGGGCTCATACTTGGTCCCAGCCCCAGACCCCAGGGCTCAGCTGCCCAGAAAACAGCAACACGCGCTGCTTTCCTTCTCACGCACCTCCGCTCCGCAGCACGGTGTGGAGACGCAGCGCGCGCCAGGGCTCAGCGCCCCACAGACCGGCTCTGTTGCTGCTGGCACGAGGCTCCGCGGATCCGAGGGGCAGAGACGAACCCAAACCCCCTCCAGGGAATTTAGTCGAGGCCCCACGTGTGGCCGACGAACAGTGGTCGGAGGAGGCCTGCATGCACGTCTCCGTTAAATAACACGCGATCCCACCGCAGGGAGGGCGTGTGGCCCGCGGCTTGAACCCTGAGCGGCAGGAAACCCGACCTCACGGCACTTGTCGGGGTGGCTGCAAACGCAGGAGAGCGGAGGCTGGGCCGCGTGGCGGTTCTAAGGATCGGGACATGGCGGCCAGAACCTACCGTTCCGGTCACCAGGGCGAGAGGCGGAGGGACGGCGGCCCAGCAGGAAGGCAGGTGCAGGGGTCTGGTCACTTTGCCCTTTGACCCAGGCCTCGCCGCTGAGCTCTGAGCCCCGACGGTGCGTGGAGGAGATGTAGCGTCCACTGGCCGACCCGCTGCCCCCCCGGACACCTCGCGCGGGACAGTGTTCCCGCTGGTCCGTTCCTCACCCAGGTCAGACCCTGCCGCGCTCTCTCCGTGACCTGAGCACAAGCCAGAGACCTCCAGGGGGGCACGTCTGGCAAGATGCTGCCCTCGTGGCCACGGGCGGGAAGCAGCCGACCGGCTCCGCGTCTGCCTGTGCCCCTGCCGGGCGAGGCTCTGCCTGTGGGGACAGCAGCCAGCTCCTGCCACCACGCCCTGCCGACCTTGGGACGGGGCATTGGTGTCACTGTCCGAGCGCAAGCCCCCCCACAGGCCCACCTGATGTTGTCGCCCCTGAGGACCCCAATGTGGCAGCCGAGTCACCCCAACTGAGGTGAGGTCACAGGGATCACGAAGACCAAGGCTCGGCCTCGGAGTCTGTGACCAACGGAGCCCCCAGGGACACCCCCCGCAGGAGGCCACCGTTCACCCAGGGCATCTCGGGGTGGTTTGTACCCCCAAATGCAGAGCTGGCGGGGGCTGCCATGCCCCCCACCTGTGCTATGGAAAGTCACGTGGGAAATACTGCTCCTGGCCCGTGGCCCGTGGCTGAGGAAGAGCCACGGTGACCACACCGCCTTGTCTTGGGACATGCCGGGTCCCCCCCCCCAAGTCTCCTGCAAACGCATATCTGCCCCCACGCCGCAGCGCTCTGTGTCGGCCGGGTGGTGTCCATGGCGCTCAGAGCCACGGGGAGTGTCCCAGGAACTTCTGCAAGAATCCACTCCCACGGGCTGAGACGTGTGGGTCCCACCACCACGTCTGGCCTCGGGCCCCTCAGTGAGCAAGGGAGTGGGTGGGCAGCAGCTCCCTGGCGAGGGGTCCACCAGGGCTCCAGGGAACTCCAGCCCCCTGGAAGGGGTCAAGCCACGCCCTGGGGCTGAGCCCAGACCCCAGAAGCCAGGAGCGGCTGCCGTGGCGGGGCTGAGCCCAGGGCCGGCACGTGACTCCCTGGAGCTCCGCCCTCGGAGGTGCCAGCAGGGCCTCTCGCCAGCTGCCCCAGCGCCCTGCGTGGCTGCTTCCTTTTGGGAGACACGCAACACGCGTCAACACGCTTAGAACTACCGTGTGGACGCAGGTGAAACTGCTGAGTGGATCCTCCAAGGGAGGTGCGCCCAAGACAGGACGAGCAGGGCCCGCCCCTGCCTCCTGCGTGAGTGCTGGCCAAGAGTCCCCGTTACGGCCGCGGTCACAGCCTCCTCCACTCACACCCAGGTGGGGTCGTCACGAGCCTCGGTTAAAATGCCACCTCTGGAGTTAGCTGGAACATTTCTTTCTCAGGCTTAATGGAAATCTGTGTTTAATTCACAGCAAAACTGCAATGTTAACGGTGACTCTTGTCTTCTGGACTATTTCCCACCAGCGGCAGGGAGCGCTGAGGTTAAAGCTCGACGGTCGGGCAGCCCAGAGGTTGAGGACAGGGCCCTCTACCGGGACGGAGCCATGACGTGACCCACCGCTCCCGGCTGGTCACTCCCACTGTTAAAACCAGCCACCTGTCTCTCCTTGTGCTCCGCTTGGGATTCTCCGTGCCACGACCACCAACAAACCCACAGCCCTGGCCCTTCGGTGACACTTGTTGATGAAGCCGGGCAGGTCCTGCCAAGACCAAACTGCTGCACTTCTCAGAATCGACAAGGAGAACCGTTCTACATGGGGCAGCAAAATGCTGGTATTTGTAAGAGTTTTTTTGGATGCACACAAAGGCAGGAACCAGCTCACTGGTTCCTTACAATTAAGGGTGAAAACAACCTCGTCTGTTGTCTCTTAGGGGGTAGGGGAAGAGGCCCAAGAGAGGTTGTGGACGCTCGATTAATTTCCACGAGGTTATTTGCCCCAATTCTTGAGGCAAAATGGTGCACACGGGTCACCTTGCATGGAAACACGGGCTGGACTTCAGAGAAGAGGGGGAGAGAGTCCCCTCGCTGGCCCGGTCACACGTCACTAGGGGGGTATGGCACGTCGTCCGGAGCTGGCCTTCCTCAGATGACACCACCTGGGAGGACAGGGGCTCAGAACAGGGCTCTGGATGCCACAGAAAAAGAAGGCAAAGGCAAGAAACAGAAGGGACATCAGGTCCGACACCTGCACGCCCCACCTGAGCACGTCCAGGGTACGGGCTGCAGCCCTCCTGGGGCCTGGGCATGAGCCGCCCAGGGTAGCACGCGCCACCTGGCGAGAGAGGGCAGCAGTGTGGCACTGAGGACACCTGGGCCAGGTGAGGTGACACCTGGGCCAGGCACGTCAGCTCCAGGCTAGTGTCTGGCCAGAAACGGGCAGACTGACGCCAAAGCAGGGGCAGCGCCTTTGTCTGAAAGTGCGACGTGTTTAATTAAAGGACAGTCCTTCGTTCTGAGATTTTGCTCTTTGTATGTTAGAAAGGACCTTTCTCTCACGAAACCAGGATAAAATAAAAAGGGAAAACCCAAGCCAGACTCCATGCCATTCTTTAACCAAAAAAGGTCCCAAAGCGCGGACCCCCCGGCCTAAAAGACATGTCAGCCCTCACTGCAGCCGTGTCACAGCCGCGCCAGAAGCGATTCCACCGTCCAGCGCACACTCTCTGCAGCCCGATGCCGCCAGGACACGCGCGCTGTGGCGGGACGGCCCGTGTCCCTGGCGTACTCTGGACACGAGCGCTCGCTCTCCGGGCCTCCCAGGACGGAGCCAAACGTGCACCGCCCCACGCCTCCCGGCGAGAGGGACCCACGCCTCCCGGCGAGAGGGACCCGCGCCGCCGGCCAGGGGACAGGGCCAGCCTGAGCCCTTGACCACCACCAAGGTGAACGCCCGCCCCGGGTTTTCAGAGCCTCGGCTAATCACGCATGTGACAGCCCCGCTGCTGGGAGGCACCTCCCGTCACCAGCACTGGCCTGGGCAAGTGGAACCACCGGCGGCGAGACCGGCCTGGCGGCTCCCCGGAAGGCCTCGCCCTGGGCGGCGGCCAGCGTGCAGGCGCACGCGGCCATCCAGCGCTGTCACGCTCAGGACGCACCGCCTGCCTCCCAGGCGTGGCATTAGCGCAAATCCCAGCTCGCTGCGTGCGCACTTCTGGGCCATCTGGGCCCCTTCTCGGCACAGGGCTGCGCAAGTGTTTACAAACACACCAGAAGTTTTTATTTATCAGTTGGCAGAAGACGTCCTTCCAAAAAGGAAGCTGACTCCGTGTGCCCTGCGGGCTGTTTACGGAGGACTCTGGGGACGGCGGGGAGAAGGCAGCGGGCGGGTGGGGTCTCGGCCACCCGGTGTGGCTGTCACAGTGACACAGACGACCTTCGAATGCCGACTTTCTCGCGCTGCACAAACACGTGCTGCTCCAATTTGTCCAGGAGCCCTCCAGGGCCCCTGTGCCTGCAGAGTCCCCTGCTCCTGGCGAGAGCAGCTTCCTGATCCACCCTCAGGACACCTGGGTCCTGAGCAAGACCGCTGCGACCCCTGGCAGCACCTGCAGTGTGGGTGGCCACGAATGTCCGGCCGTCCCGAATGTCCGGCAGTCCCCCTGTCTCCCCAGCCCCCCCTGCAGGCCTGTGGTCAGCCCTAGGAAGCGGGAGGCGTTGCTGGCCTCCACCTCCCACCCTCTCCGCTGTGCCAGTGACTGAGCCCCAGACCTCCAGCCCCGAAGCCCCCCAGCCCCTGCCCCAGCTCCTGCAGCCTGCAATGTAGAAGTCCGGCCCCACAGGAGCCCCGCCGGGGACACCTAGGCCCCAGCCCCGCAGCCCCCCTGCCCCTTCCCAGCGCCTGCGGCCTGAAACGTGGAGCCCCCACCCCCAGACCAGGACCGCGGAAC